TTACCATCAGTAAAAGAAAACTTTTCAACAGAGCAGAAAATGGGATTTGCTTTGAAATCATATCTTAGAAAGGACTTATGGTAACAATGAGGAAATCCTGTGTTCATGCTGACGAAAACAGACTCATTGAATGAAGCCCAGTGTGGTGGATGTTTTCTGCCTCCATGTTTTCCAAGCCTTTCTTGTGTAATTTATAGAGCAATTTATTCAGTTAGATGCTGCCTTTCATCCCATTCTGCTGCACTATTTGCTGAGTTCATACAGCAATTACAAATACCCATACTATAAGAGGATTAAATTTCATAAATGTCTATGATAAACTTAGGTGGATCGCAGGAAGGATACGATGTGTGTAAGTTTTTTTCTTGATTTTTCCACATTGCAGAAAGTTACTGGTTTTTTCTGTATGGCTCTACTTTCATCCACAGTTCTGCAGAGCACTCACACATTTGACTTTAAGCTTTTGCAAGGAAGTCACTTATACATGAGCACCTTTTCAATTATACCTCACAGAACCCAGTGGGACCTCCTCTGCCTTTACCTCACATTCTGCTGGGGAGTGGTCCTACCACGTTATGTGGGATGACTCCTCCACTTAAATCATCTCCTGAATTTAGCCTAAGTGCTCTTCCCTGTAATTCTCTCTATTTTAATCTTTGGCACTGGAACACCCTGTCTTTTCTTTCACGTGGCAAATTGGCCACATTTGCTTAATTACCTTTCCATTCTTTGTTGTCTGCCTAACCTGATTTGCCCATATTTCATATCCTTTTGTATGTTGTGTGATCTAGGCATAAACGAGGACCTTTTTTGTAATGCCATTTCAGTTCTTCACCGAGGTTTGCTTTAGCAAGACTTGAGGAAGAACTGAAAATTATAAAGCTAGCAAGCATTTTGCTTTTGTAAAACCAACTAAATTTTGGCTGTGAGATTCATTCCATGAGTAGTCTTAGAAAACACATAAATCTTTCATAAGTTTGTATTTTCTGCTATTTTTAATACCCCAAATCTGTCACATACATTGTTGACTCAAAACACGTAGCAAGTACCAAGTAATCAGAGACAATTTATAATCCTCATGTAGACTGCAGTAGGGATAGCTAAAGCATGTATTTGAAAAATTAGAATTTGGAGGCGGGGTGGGGGAAGGTTGGATGTGGCATGAGAGTTGTTTAGAAGCCACGGTGAGGCATTAATTGTTGAATCTGTGAGAGACTAGAGAGGCTTCATTAAAATTTCTCGGTTTATGCGAAACAATGCAATTTCAAAGTAATTTCATTAATTCAGTTAAAAATGTTAAATTGAAAGCAATAATGCATTCCAAAAGGTCTTGTGTAAAATATATCAAATTGATGTATTGAAGTTACATGAATTAAGAGAGAACATTGAAGTAAAATTGAAAACATCAGCACTGTGCCAAATTAAGTGAATAACTGTTACAGTAAATGTGTGTAATATTTTATTATTTAAATATGAACTTAAATTTTACATCAGTCCTTTCAATGGAATCGTCAGCAGTAGATATTTGTCAAAAGTAAGCCAACAAAAGTAACCTGATGGAAATGGAGCATTACACTCTATAATAGACAATAGATAATTCCCAGTAGGACTGCCCTGAATACTCAAGGGAAGATTATCATAGATTTTCCTTTCTTTTTAGCTTCTAGCTCATAGTGCTATCTAAGCATCATTAGATATAGTTAGTAATTTCTTATACGTCGATCCTACAAGAAAGGGTTGAGTTTTATTCATCCATATTTTAATTGTTACTGCTACATTTTAAGAACCTCACAGGTAGGTCACCATTATATAAAACATTAAAAGAACACATTCACCAAGCAACAAATACCCTTTAATAAATCCTCACTCTTAGATATTTCAGCACTATAATGATGTTCATTTTATGTTTCTTTTAAGCTAATCCTCACCTACAGTTGTAAATTCTTGTTAAATGATCATTTTTTCTGAAAGCCTTAGCAATTAGTGGAGCTCCCTAGCCATTGCTTTCAAGTTAGAAGCAAGACTGTAAAGAGGATTCACAGTGAAGATGTTCAAAATTTAAGTGTTCAAAAGACCTGTACGTAAGGCAACACTTTCTGCCCATATTAAACAAGTATTGTCTATACTTTGCTCCATTTGTGTTACTAGAGTCTCATTACTGTAGTATTAAACCCTTGTGAGCTACATTGTTTTAGTTAATGTCACCAAGACAAGGCTTGCTTAATCTCTGGCATATTGCTTGTTCAGCATTTACAGATAACACTTCACGTGGTTGTTTCATTTCCATGTTTTAGGACAGATAGTGTGCAAACTGCTGGTAGGAATCTGAGTGCTGGAGATGGTGGCTCTAGAGTTTGGTTATTAAGTATATAGTAGTGATAATATAGATCCCTGTTATTCTTGGACTGCTGTACATGGCTTTTGTTATTGTCAAGTAGACCTGAAAGAGGTCTTGCTTGATGCTTTTTAGCTAATAAATTGTTAACCATTTTCACAGTCAGCAGGGGAATCCCTCATTCTCTTAAATATCCAAGTCTTTGATGTAAGAGCCACAGTTCTTAATAATTTATGTAAACTGTAGGGTTGTGCAATCCCAATCCTGACTGGATTGAAGTCCTGATATTGTAGTTATATGTTACTAGGCATAATAAAAATATTAAAATGCAATTAATGTGGGAGGAAAATGTTATCCTAATTTAAACCAACTTGTTAGCACTAGCAGTAGATGAATTATTGTGGACATTAAAGGGTGGAAGTAACTACTGTTGTCTTCGATAAGTAGAGTGCAGACTGTAGAAATAAAGCTGTCATGAACTTCATGAACTTTACATAGATTAGAATGCATCCACGCGATCCTTGAAGAACGATCACTGACAGAAAGCTGACATCTGTAAGATTTATGAGTGACTTAAAATATGAACACATAATTCCCCAAGTACATGCTGTGGGCATACAGACTCCTGTTTTCCTCAGCAATGGTTCAGGCCTTCCGTTTTCTGAAGGGTGGTGCTAAATAAAGTCTAGTCTTCACAGTGATAATCAGAGAAATTAATGTACATACTTTTCGAGCTGAATTAGTTAAGGTGCATTGAACCATGGGTGGATTCTCATTCAGAATCAAAATAGCCTTTGTCCAGTGTAGCCTATTTAACTTTCAAAATAAATTAAAGCAAACGGAATTAAATCTACTTCAATAAAGTATGTCTACATATAGGTTCAGTGTAATTTTACCATTCTGCACTGAATTCACAGATTAAATTCAGAATTAGTTTGCCTTAAAGACATGAGAATATAAGCAAGAGTAGGCTGGGAAGATTTTACTAGCTGAAATGATGATGAAAACTGAGCCTTCCCACCTTAGATGTTCAAAGAACCTTTAGCTTCCTAAACAAAATGTGGACAAATGAGACTTTTTTTTTTTTTTCTTTTCTTTTTTTTGTTTTTCTCAGATGCCTCTAAGAATGAAAACATCTCTGGAAAAACAAAAGTTTGCATCAGACATAGCATACTCAAGTTTCTGTGCTACATTCCCTGACATAAGTTTACTTAGCAGGCACATTTATTATAGAAGTAGTTTATTAAATCTATGCCTTCTTAAGCAAGGCAGGGTTGGTAAGGAAAGGGAACATTCTGTATCAAACTGGTACATATCAGGGAAATAAAGGCAAGCAAGTAGTGAGAAAACTAATTGTAAGTTACCCGTAGTGATGCTGAATGGAAAGACTTCTGTGTCGCTTAGGAGCACTGTGTGGTTTGTGTACCTTGGTCACTGGGGCACTTTGGAAAAAAATCAAAGTGGCTGTGGTACTTGTTTGAGCAAAGCTGCTCAGTAGTGAATTGCTACTGTTCCATGCTCTGCCTGTCACTAATTTATATTACTACTCTACATCCATTTAAGAGGAAAAGGTGTGCCTGAAAAGTTATTTGTGTCCTTGAATGTAATTGACTGTGAGTGTTCCATAATTTACAGTAATACAAGATACTGTTGATGTCTCTTAGGGTATTTTCTCACCAGCCAGTCAAGATTTTTTTAACTCTGAGCTGCTTGGAATGATATCATTAATCTAACTAGGTGACTGCAATATGCTGGGTAATCCTGCATGATGAAGAGCTGCTGCAGTCCTTTGAGATGGGTGGCAAGAGCGTTTTGTACAGGGTAATAGAGTGTCTGGAAGGAGCAGTAATGATACAGCTGAGAAGTAGCAGGTGTGAAGAATAGCTTTTCTAGAACACAGGCTTAATCAGAGCTCTGCAGATGCAGTTGTCAGTTCTTTTGTATTTCCTCATCAAATTCTGTGATTTGGTAAAGGATTCACTATGGCTCTTGGGCCTTTACCAGTACAGCAAAACGGGAAAGAAACTGGTTGCAAGCTATCTGTATGACTGGTGTAGCTTTCCAAACCCAGCATATCCTACACAAAAAATGTGTGCCTTTAGTCCATCATTCTGTCCATGAAGGAAGGCAAAGGCTATGGAGTCTCTGTCAAGAAAATCTGTGTCTACTGTCATAGTTACCCAGTCACAGGTATCACAGCCCTTACATAAATCCTTCCTGTAGACAGGTGGGCTGATATTGTAGGCATGTAGCATATCCTTGTTTATGTATGGAGAAAGCAAGAGTGGGAAAAATCTTAGTTTTATCTCAGTATAAGAGTTTGTTCCTCTGAGATTACAAAACTGGCTGATCTCTGTGACCTCATTGGTCACAATGACTTTGGTCTAAAGGCCCTGTCCCTTTTGACTTTAGTAAGACAAGGCATATGAGCAGAGTCTGTTGATATAAATAAAGGCTGCAGGATCAGAACTTCAGAGGCAAGCTCTTTATCGAAGGGGTAAACCTCACCACATTTACATAAAAAGGAATGTTGCGAGGGTTTCATGTGGTGCTCTTAGTGTGACTCCAAATGCCATATGAGTAATATGCTGGAAACCACATCATTGCTATGTTTTGTTGATCTGGGATTATTAACAATGTCCTCATTCCACATTATTTATTTCAGATCACCAAACTAGCTCCGATGTTAGTTTGTCGGATGTCCAGGGAGCATCAGAAAGAACAGATCACAGTTTTAAAACAGAGGTACTTTCTGAAACATTAGAGACTAAGGAGCAGTTGATATTGGTGCTTCCAAGAAGAATATCGTGTGAGGTAAGATTTTTGAATGCTAAAATCTTTGCGACCACAGACAATGTTCTTCTCTTCCTCCTGCAATCTCATTCGTACTATAACGGTTCTGAAAACAAATAGCAGATAAGGGCCCAAAATGAGAGTGCGTTGAAACTGCAAAGGAATTTATTTTGTGTTTGTGTCACATCCACACTGCAGCCAAAAGATTTGCAAATAAGGTAGTTTTGAGACAGTCTCTGAGGGATTTTATCTCTATTAGAATTATTTGGCGTCTTGGGTAGAGATATTACTGTCATGTGGGCCTTGTAGTTTAGAGGGAGCGTGTAGTCAGGCACTTCTTGAGAGATATGGAGTGTCTCTTGGCAAGAGTCCATGGTGGGGTATATGGGTACACGCATATGTGCCCATACCACAAGTTGCAGAAGTGCTTGTGTGAGTGTATACCTTGTCTGATTTAAAATTAAGTCAGAAATATTTATACATACATATCTGCGTGCATATCCAATGGACACAAATGTTCATACGTGTATGTTTTTAATCAGAGTTGCCGTGAGAAAATATGTGAAAATGTAAACAGAGGAGGTACAGTATCCAACACTGCATTCCTTTATGTAAGTGGGTGTCCACAGCCAGATATGGAGGTTGCAGTGGACACAGAATGTTGCGCTTGCTGGCTTTCTTTCAAAGATGACTTACACACATAATTTCGTTGTTGAGATCAGTACAGGTCTAAGGGAGTAACACTCCCTCTGGTTCAGGAGGCAGTAGAAGGGTATTGTCTCACATTACCTGTGGCTTTTGTCTTACTTTACTGTCAGTTCACTGTAAGAGTTTAAGTAAATCTAAAGTATTTTAGGTGGTTGTTATTAGGCTGAATATCACTCTTCTAGGCAGTAAAGCAGAATGGTCTTAGAAAATGTAACAAGTCACCTACATATGAATTTAAAATCCTGTTTTAAAATATTGTTAGTTAAACTAAATTTAAAATGCTACATTAATTGTTTCACTTATGTCAGTAAAGTACTAAAGGATAACACTGCGGTGACATCATGTTTGGTATTACGATTTTTTTGTATGAAGCCGTTCGTAAAGGAACTTTCCAACTTATGTTTTCATTTGCATTTTACACTTTCAGTATAACTTTCTGAAGGACTAATGGGAACATATTTTAATTTTATAGAACCCTGGTGAAATATTCATTTTGCTGAAAGATGAAATAGATGATGAAACTTTAGAAATCGAATTCATAGCAGACAATCAACGAATTAGGACACAGCCAGCCTCATGGAATAAAAAGGTCAAGTACATGAAAGCCTTAGGTAAGAAAAAAATTCTTTACCTTTAAGTAAACAGAAAATTTTGGTCTTCTTTCACTTTTTCTGATAAGTAGTTTCACTTCCCACTATTTTGTAGATGTTTCCTGTACATGGGTTTTGCACACAGAACATTTATTAATAATGCAGAAAAGCAAGGTCTTGTGATTTATGGGAAACTAGGTTCTGTTAGATTGTTTTTGTGTCGTTAAATGGCAGGTGGCAGTCTTAAAATGTCATTGATTAGTCACAGATTAACATTCTTCAAAATCACTGCCATAAAATGCAAAGCTAATATTATTTTCTTATTACTTTATTACTAAAATATTTCGTTTTATATTTAACACAGCTAAATATAATTCTTACTGACAGAGGAAATAATTTCTTTTCTTGTTCGTGTCTGTGCTATTTCTCACTAAGCACTGCTTGTTTCTAATGATTTTTTTCAACTGCTCCATCCATAACTAGTTGCCAACAGTTTCAACTATTTAACAACAGTTTCTCTTAGGAGATCTGTGCGGATTTAAGGGCCACGCCTGTCCCCACTCACTTAATGTGAGTTAAGAATTAAAAAAATTTTCACTTAAGTGTTCAGAGTGTAGCTTGCTACTGCACTGCATGCTGTGAATTCTCAAAGGAACTTATATAATATTTTATTCCCAAACCATTGCAATACAACATTAACAACATTAGATAGGAAGAGTTATATATATACAGGCTACAATTTTCTACAGTGGCTTCTTGGAGCTATGTTTGGGTAATTCTGTGGCCTGGTTTTCATTCTGAACACAATCCTGAGACAATGGCCACCTATGGCCTGAGAGTTCTTTGTCACTGTGATGGTGCAGAGAGTTTGGTTTTAAAGACCTGATGGGAAAGTACATGACCAACAGGAAACTTTCATCTGTAACTGGGGTTCAGAGAAGGAAAGCTGAAATCCTCATTCACAGATCTTAAAAGATTCTTCCAGAATTAATCTAAAAACAAAAAAATAAAAAAAAAATTGGGCAGTTTCCATTTAAGTGGTTTAAGGTCATGTTCTATTAATTTAGTTTCTTTGGCCCTATTACTCTTACTCGTCTCCATTTTCAGGGTTGCCCGTTTTTGTCACTGTTTTGTGGGCGGAGATAGAATTCTAAGAAAACTACTAGTGCTGGTATGGTACAGCAGGATACCTGGCACAATGAATGCTAATGAATTATAAAATATGCTCATAAAGAGGGCTTGTGCTGCATGCATACACAGAAGAAGTCATACTTAAGTAATAGACTGTACAAATGCCTCTTTCCTTTGCTTTTACTAGGTAAACAACTGGAATGGAAGTAATTATGCTGCAGTTTCTGCAGCCTAGTTCAAATCCAATTTTGACAACCTTGCCTGCAATTAAGAAAAATGTTTCAAAAGTTGAATAGCAATTCCACTGTTTGTAATAAATGAACTTCTCCTTAATTTGTAGGCATAAGGGAGCTGATTATAGGTCATCAGTCTATCAAAGGGAAGTTGGAAATTTGAAGCATACTGTTTTCATCTCCTTTCTAATGTGAAGCAATACAACAGCTTTGTTTTATACAGTTTTACAGATACATATTTTCTTTTGTCAGCTTTTTAATGTTAGATTGAATGACTGGGATAAAAAACTGACTACACTGAATCATCAGTGAAGTGCAAATCCATTTCATCGACTCTATGCATTTTCTGTGATATCTTCCTGTTCTTTTACTCATTCCCTGAGACCTCTGGTCTGGGACTGTAAAACATTTTCAGCTACTGTTCTGGTTTGTGTTTTTTAAGATTTTCCTGCTGGCCCCGTGTGTGTAAATGTCTACTGTGGGGGAGTCATTAAGACCACAGCGCAGATCGAGTACTATACTGCACTAGAGGAGATTGAGCACGTTTTTAAGAAAGTGGCTGACCCAATAGCTTTCACTTGTCAGGTAAGTTGACTTCTACGTTTTTAATTAAAAAAATAAAATATTAATTAAACCTATATGAGCTAAGAGGTACACAGTCTTTTGATTGCACAGTAATGAGCAATGGCTCAATAACAGGCTCAGGATTAGAGACCTGTCTTTGAGATGTCTAGTTGTAAGCAGGTTGGGCAAGTGAAAACAAATTTTCTCTCTTTTTTTTTTTTGTTTTTTTTCTTTAGAGTCATATAAACATCCTTTGAGCTGTATATGACCAACCAACAACATCCTGCATTACAGAGGATTCAAATAGTAACAAACAGTAGTGATGTCCCTCTCCACTTAAAGTGTTCTTTTTAGTATGTTCTAAACCCAATAGAAACAAGTAATCTTAAATCACATTGTATTTGGAGGATTATTATTCATTCACCAGCAAACAGGATTTTTCTGGCATAGCTCGTATGGAAGACAGTAGGTTGCCATTCATGTAGAGTCCATTTACAGCTGCTGAATTATCATTCATGTGGTTTGCTGATTGCCATGCAGATTCTTTGCACATATTTAGAAGAATTCAGGTTTTGAGCTGGGTTTCAAATCAGCACAGCAGGCTGCAGTGCTCAGCAGAAGGTCCTTTGCCAATGGCGCATACAAAATAATCAGAAAAGAAAGCATCTATTAAGAAAGGATGGAATTTCAGGTATCATTTGTTGACTGCTGGGTAGCCCAAGCAGACTTGTCATAATGTCTATATTGTAATTGCAAAGCCAGAACAAAAATAATAGTCTGTGTTTCCAGTGCAGACAGTCTCATTTTCCTGTGACAAATCTACCTTATCTACCACCTAAGGCATTACACTCATAACGAAAGGATTAATAAAAAATGATGTATTGCATTATTAGTGTTCTGTTAAGGATGGGGGTAGATTCATTCCAAGTACAAGTCACTTCTGTTCTAAGAAAACAGGCTGTTGCACAAAAAAAAAGTGCAACGCTAAGTACAAGTGCGTTCGTCAAGTCTTTATAGTATCCATCGTTCTTTAGCCTGTAGTTTGATATGAATATGGAAATAAGTTTCTAACAGGTGTCATTTAAAATTTTGTGCATAAGAAGTGTGTCATAATGATTAAAAAAATGATAATTAACCTGGTGAACTGGATACCTACAACACACGTGGTATTTCCACTGGATAAATATTTGTGTTATTCAGGAGTTTGACCCTTCATTTGACCAGCATGACTAATATTTAGTAAGACACATGCAATTCAAATTATATTCAAATGCAAAAATAATTCTATGCAGAGCAGTAGTGCACACCAGGAATATGTCAGGTATGTTTAGCAATTTCCTCACCTTTACTCATTTGGATAATAAGCAAGGGTTTAAATGAGGAGGCACTGTTTGCCTGCTCTTAATTTTATTGTTTTGGCAGCAGAAAAATTAATGATGAGAAAGTTTTTGTAATTGGGTAAGTTTTACAATCCACACAATATCATGCTTGCTCTGCAATAAAATATACTAATGGTAATTCTTTTGTAGTGTACGTATGTGTTGGAAGATTTGTCATCATATTTAGTGGTATCTGCTGGGCCATGGTGTGAGGTACAGTAACTAGCTAGGTAGTTAAAGTGTTTCCACAAACTTTTTAAATACTTTAAGCTCTCATGTAAACCTGATTTGATGGCAATAAGATGTATCATAAAGATGCAATTGACATAACATCATTTACCTTCATCTTTAAAAAGATATTCACGCAAGGAAAAACAAAACAGACTTGATAGTAATTAGAATTCCCATCAAGTAGTAGGAGTAACTTTTATTTAACCAGGATAATTAAAACCTTTGAGACTTATCAGCTTATTTGCGAAAGTATCCTGGGGCAACTGTGGTTTATCTATGCAAAGTAACAATCAAACACAATAGAAAACAAAATTAAAAGAAAATAGAAAAGCTTACAGCAATTATTGGTCAAAGCAATATCACTCTGTGGTTCAAAGAAAAGTTCAAGATTTTCACAAATGCCTGCAATCTGAGAAGTAACTCTGTATTAAAATTCTGTGATGAAAACAAATTGCTATAGTAACGCATACCGAAGAGAAAATGCTTTGGTAAAATGCTTTCATTGTGTGTATTTTGTGTTGCCAACCCCTCCAGCTACTTTGAGATGCTATCGTTGTGATTATTGTCCCCTTCATCCACTTTGTCCTCCAATAGAGCCAAACAGATAAACGAAACCCAAGAAATGGGCTTGCAGCTGTCCATTCCTTTTACAGATGGTCAGGTCAGTTCATACATCTTAGTGGGAGACCAACAAAGTATGGTACTGCTGCACTTACAAATTCCTCTTTTTAGAGAGGAATTAAAGATTAACATTAGCCATGTTTTTGATTAAACGTATTTTAAGATATTTACAAATCGTGTTTTGGGGTGGAATTCTTTGCCACATCTGTAGATCGTAACTTTCTATGTTCCACATTTGTCTGAATTTACAAAGCATTTACCAACATTAGCAAGACATTTTAAACAACCAAATAAATGTCTAAAATGTAAGGAAATAAATAGAGTAAAAAATGAAATAAGTTTCTTTGCGTAGGTTTCAAAAGAAAAAACCCTGAAATTTTATAGTAAAGTAGGAAGAGTTGGGATCATAACAACTGAATCATAGTGCTGAATGAACTTGCTATCAGAATATATGAAGGTGGGTGTTTGATAAAGGCCATGAGTTTTATTTGTTCTCTCATATAATACTGCATTATAGAAATTCTCTCGGAATTTGTGTTCTTACAGTAACCCAGTGTACAGACTGATTTTAAGGTTCTTATAATTCATAATTAAACTTTATCATATTTCATTTTTTACTTTTCATCAACTTCTCATTTCAACATTCTGCTGGATTTACATACTGCATTGATTTTTCTCTCAGACTTTCTACCAAGTGCAACTATTGATTCAATTATTTAGTGTTAGTGTTTCCTGGTACAGATTTCATAGATTTAAAAAAAAAAAAAAAAAAAAGACTAAGATCATATCCTTATTACTCAAATTGATAGGTTCATGTTAGTTTGAGTGACTTTGAATATCTGGAGAGATTCAGGAAGTCTTCATGATAAACTTTGTTGAATAATACCCCTATGATTCTGAGAGACTTGTTATCTTAAAGGGTGTTTTTATCACAGTCACCAAACGGGATTCCAGTTGCAGTGTATATTGAAAAAGAAGAATGAAATAAACTGCAGCCTTTTCTATGAAAACTTGTAAGAAATAGCTATGACTTATGTGGTGGTATTATCTATCTGCCTTTACCTGATCCCCAGAGATATTTCCTTTGAAACTGTTTTTAATATTTCAATCTTCTAAGCCACATTGCAGCTGTTATTCTAAAATGTTTCTTTCTTTTCTTCTAAGTATGAAATCTCTCCATATTCTATCACTGGCTAAAATTGTCAGAAATGCCTAAGTGATTTTTAAGCCTAGCCCATTCTCTTTGGCAGAAGCAATCTAGATATTGAAGTGCATGTAAACTAGTGTGTGGTATGTAAGAACTAATGAAGAAGTTCATTTTTATGTGTGTAATGTAACCTTGTTAGTACTGCTAAAGCCTGTGAGAAATATATTGATTTACTGGCTGTGTAAGCTGTGTTTGTGGGACACATTTTCAGGGCTTTGTTAGCAGTTATTAAAGAATGTACATCATCTCATTCACAAAAGTAGCCAAGTATGTTCAAGGATGGTTTTGGAAGCGCAGGTGTGATGGTCAGCACTTGGGGCTTCTATATTGTTCACAGCTGTGTCCTGTTGCTCTGAAAAGGCAGGGAGGGAATGGAGATAGTGCCTACACCTGGGGAGGTGGTACGGAGCAAGGACAGGCTGCTGGTCATGAGCTCTGGGGTAGCAGGAGGGTGGAGCAAAGGGTAGCTGGCTGTGCTTCAGAGAGCGTGGGAAGAATTGCTTACAAACTCACTAGCTTAATTCTGAGCGGCTCCTGGAAAGAACTTGTCTGCAAGGACATGGGGGAGAGCAGTGCTTTTCCTTCTTTTCTGTCATGTTTTAAATCTTTGTTCAGGTAAAATGTGGGCTTTCTCAAACTCCTGACAGGCTCAGAGTTCTCTTGCAGTGTACTTAACTTTAAATATTGGTGAAGCTTCAGCATGAACTTTAGGTGTGTAATGTTGGTGGGTTTTCTTGGGAAGATTTCATGGACCTATAGAGACCTGTGTAGGGTACATCAGAATATGTAAACGCAGCATACTTAGAGTCTGTGAGTGCTCTGGAGCA